ACTCGAGTCCTGGATAACAAAGATGGTAGCTACAAGATCAGCTATTTTGCAAAAAAAACTGGAAAATGCCGTGTGTCTGTGAAGATCAATGGAGAGCACATTCGTCAAAGTCCCTTTGCTGCTGAAGTAAAACCCAGACAGTTCAGACCTGTGTTATCCTTCGGAAAATATGGTTTGGCCGAGGAAGATTTTTCATGTCCCTGGGAAATAGCAGTGAACGAACTCGATGAAATTGCAGTCACTGATATCGGTTACAACAAAGTTCAGGTATTCAGTAGTGATGGAACTTACTTAAGATCATTTGGGTCTAGGGGGTATAAAGAGGGAGAGTTTAACTCGCCTACAGGGATTGCAATCGATAATGAAAGCGGAATCTTCTTCATAGCAGATTCAGTTACAAACCAAATTCGACTTTTCACTGGGAAGGGGGAGTTTCTGAACAAGTTTGGTGGAGAGGAAAATCTTGATGACCAACTCAGCTATCATTGCGGGTTATCCTTCGGTAGTGACGGAAATTATATTGTGGCTGATAGCGGAAATGAGGAAATTAACGTATTTTCCCGTAACGGCCAGTTTCTCCGTAGTATAGGCTCTGAGGGTTCTCTTTCTACACCCACTCACTGTATCCAGTATAAGGAATATTTTATAGCGTCAGACTTTTCGGGACATTGTATCAAAGTTTTTGACAAAGCAGGACATTTTCTGTACAAATTTGGAAAGTATGGAACAGGGGACGGGGAGTTCAATGGACCTACTCGTTTGTCAATTAACAAAGCTGAGCACCTGATGGTCTGTGATGCAGACAATCATAGAATTCAGGTGTTTGAGGTGAATGGAAAGTTTGTTGGAAAATTTGGCTCAGAAGGAAATAAGATAGGACAGTTACGTAGACCAATCTCTACAGCAGTCCTCAGTAATGGTAGGATAGTTGTTACTGACTCTCACAATCATCGGGTTCAGATATTTGAGTAGCCGTATCTTCTGTTGTCTTATAATGAAGTGTTATAATAGTAATATCATTTATCTTTCGGATTCTTTAAACATTTTATTGATAGACGTGGAAGCTTCTTGTTACATTTGTAGGTTGAAACTTGAATTTTTAACAATGTTTTACAACGTGCGCTCCAATTGTAGCCAAGAAGATTACACGCACAAACGAGTTCAATGGACATAGCTCTGTATCCAAAGAGTTGAGTATTAATATCATATAGGTTTGTTAAGTATATTAGTTTTTTTCTGAAAAAGAATTCAGTTTGATAATTTATAAAAGGATGTTTGCAAGACTCAATCTGGTGATTGCTCATGTACTCTCTGAGATTGACTGTTGAACTCCAAGGGAGTAGGTAGTGGTCAGGGAATTAAGAATTTGTTCATGCTTAGCGTGCGTATATCGAGTTAGGGATGTACGCGGGAAGTTTGGAGAGCACGAAAAATGCGTAAGAGTAGCTCGAGGCGCAGCCGAGAGCAACTCTAGCTTTTTTAGTGCTCTTCAAACTTCCCAAGTGCATTCATAACTCGACATACGCACAGCTAAAAGCATGAACAAATTCTTTTATAACAGAGCGACAACAAGGATCTGCGCGAAGAAGCCTTTCATTATGATAAAATTTTCAAATTCAGGGCCGAAATGTCTCTCTAACAAAGAGAGCTTTATTCACCATGTGATTATTTTATCATTTTTAATTTTCAGAGATGAATTTGAAAAAGGAAAAAATGTCAGGTTGTAAATCTAAGACTACTGCAAAATTGTTTCGCTGCACGTAGGCGAATGATGCAGTGCTACTGGATTTGTTTGCATTTGAAAAAAATTCTTTCAGTTTGGGGTAAAATTAGTTTACAGACTCAAAACTCCTTTCCATTATACCAAAACTGTAAACTGAACCCGGAAAACGTTGCACTTCTGTATCAGACCTGGTTTTAAATCATTTGTGCTCAGTTAGATCTGAATTTCTTTTGCAATATTAAAATAGGATCATAAGTAAGTAAGTTTATTAAGAGCACTTCCTGTTATTATTCTAACATATTTTATATCTACTGCTTTTGTAATTTTTGAATGACAAATCACCAGCAAAAGTCTAAAAGGAACTTTCTATGCACACAATCCTTTCACTTAAATGACCAATTGTCATTCCTCAGACCTGATTGTAGTCATGATGGGATGATTAAGTTCGCGCATGTGAAACATATGAAGTTCCTTTAAAGATTTAAATTTAGCGGTAAGCACTGTAACGTTTATAATGTTGTTACGAATAAATTTGGCCTCTTTTATTGCTTCGCCAGTTTCGTTTGTTCTTTGTCAGTAGTGATTGGATTTCTGTGTTTCATTTCCCAAGGCGGACTTTTTAGAACATTTTGTTAGAGCTCGGTTGAAAAACGTTCGAAATCAGCGCCTTTCAGTTCCTGTCTCGCTGAGTTGAGGAGCATCAGCCAAAACTGGAATATTTAAATCTAAGTCTTAAAGCTAAGTCCAACCAACTTCAGTTGGAAGCACAATAAGTATCCAATATATATAGACATGTCTGGATTTCCCCGCGTCAGAGTTAGATAATATATAGAGCTGAAAATTAATATGATTGTATTTTGATGGTAATGCATGTCGTCATTCCTGCTTTTACCCGAGCGGTCAATACTATACAGGTCACATTCTGAGCGGAAAATCCTGTGAAGCTGAAGGGTTGGTTATTCTTTCGTCACTTTTCCACGACATGAATGGTGGTTCTGTCACCTGCACTATAACAGGTCAAAAACATCTCTTTCGTTGTTTCAGCATCTCTCCCATATACGCAACCATTCTAGTTCATGCCTGCAAGGATATTAGCTAATTTACGCAATCATGTTAAAGTTGGATTTGTAAGTTCAGAATCAATTCATGCGAAAACTGAACAGCCTAAATTTCGCTTATATACTCGATTGACTTATGGCCTGAAAGTCAAAATGATGACATTTTAAAATTGCATTTTACGAAACTAAAAGGTTTCGCTTATGATGATTTGGTTTTCAGACTCGAGAGCAGGTGCAAGCCCCGTCAAAGCCCAAATTCTTTTTCAAGGTGAAATTGCAATTACTCTTCAAGTAAATAATGGGAAATTATTCCTCTACAAGAAAGCACATAAGAAAGCACATCACCTCTAGTTTCTCTAAATATTAACATCTTCCACACAAAATTTCCAAATGGTTGCGGTGCTTGTCTTTAAGAGCAGCATATCCTGTGTTTATTATTAAGAGAGTTTTTCGAAGAAGGTATCTGATTGTATGTACTTGCTCTAGACATCTACGAAAAATGAGTGATGTTTTCATATTTGGTTTTGACGCCCATATTATTAAAGGGCGTGACTACACCTGTCAGGCAATCACAATCACGTTGATTGGTCAGCGGGTATTACGCCAAAATAAAACAAGGCCATGTACTACTTACACTCCAAAGAAATCGCCTTGAACAGAGAATGACATCCTGGTGGTAATCAAAAATGGGATAAAGCTAACGTAAAGCGCGCAGAAGAAGGGTGTGTTCAAAAATTGACGGTGAAAAGACTCTTTCTCACCCGTGGAGAGTTGAAAGCATCAAGTCGCACATCGGCTCTGATGTCAGGTTTTGCTATGGTAAGTGTTTTAATGCTTCTAATTTTCTAACTTTAGGAAACAGAATACGGCTTAATTGAATGTTTCTAATGTTTATCACAGAAAATGAGCGAGGGAATTTTTATGGAATTTTTTTTTTATTAAAGTGCGTTTAGTTATAAATTTAAGTAACTTTTATGTGTTAATTCTGATTGTTTATAGCAAGTCCTTGTTGTTGTGAGAAATTTACCTTTTCCACATTTGCACAGCGATTTTATTTTTTCCATCCGTTGCGGATAGGTTTATTGTATTTGGACTAGTCATTAAATCTTTGCGTGATCTTTATGTGATGTGGAAGTTGAACATTCAGTTTTATAATACAGCAGAGATGCTATAAGCACCCTGATTGGTCACAAACCTATCATTTATTAAACCAGTAAACCATAGAAAATTTTAAATTTACTTTTTTTAAAAGCAGTAGACTTCTCTTTCAATCATTTCCTGGCATAATAATGGAAGAATACTAGAGAAGTTTGTAAATCATGATCTGGAGACAAGTGATTTACAGACTTTTCTTGTCTTCTTACAGCATCCTGCATGGGCCATTAAGCTGGTAAACCAATAGAAGGGGCTGTCTCCTACTTAACCCTTTAACTCCCAGAATTGATTAACATGCGACTTGTTTTCTAAAATATCTGCACATAATTCAGCAGGCATGTAAGGAGAATAATCAAAATTATCCGGTTAAAGTTGTTATCTTGAACTAACACCAAATTCTCATAACCAATTTGCAAGGAAATGTGTGACAGCAAAAGGGGAGAATTAACAATCAGATCTTGGGAGTTAAAAAGATTAAATGGAGCCAGGATAGGGGATGCAACCTATCATGGGTTACATGAAGGGATACTCTGTCCTATAGAGATACAATATTTTTAGCCAGATATAAATAGGGGAGTAGGAAGCTCATTTCCATATTCCATCATGTATAATAGTCATCTGGTGCCCTTGAAGAGAAAGTGGTAAGAAAATGTTACTGCTGTGCTTAATGACCAGACTTTTCATGGATAGTTACTCAAAGGAGGGTGTATTCTAGCGGTTTTATTTTGTTTGGGTGTTTAATGTAGCACCTTTTTGGGAAAAAAGAATTGAAAAGGAAAAGGGTTTTGAGCATAGGGAAGAGTATCCATATGTATATGCAAAACTTCGATGATTATCTCACCATGTGTGTATAAATTATTGTTGCTGTATTATCCTTGGACAGAACACTTCAATGTATTTTCTGTTCTTTCAGGACCTTTTCCCTGTTTAGGTAGCCATGGTGGAAATTCAGGTAGAATCAGGTATACCAGAAGGACTTTTGATAGCATTCAGTGTGATGACTACCATTCTGATCTCAGTTCATGTCTTTGCACTTATGATATCTGTCTATATTTTGCCAAATATTAATGGTGTGGCAAATATTCATCAACAAGGCACCTAAATTTTATGCAATTCTCCACATGAAAAACTTCACACACATTGAAATTGCATGGAATTATCTGAACTGGTCTTGGAACACTTCTCTTTTTAGCCAAGATTGCAATACTCTGTTGGGTGAAGTTTTACAATTACAGTAAGCCTGTGGTAGTGGCTGCTTCTGTGGTATTAGTACTGGTATGCATTGTGTTTGTATGGTTTGCTGTGCATTTTTACCGATCTCTTGTCCAACACAAGTATGAAAGATCTTTTCAGGGAGAGATCTTTTTCAACAGATTACAAACCAACTGCACACAGATACAAGGACAGTACCAAGCTCACCAGCAGGCAGTCCATGTCCTAATCATGGGGTTTGAGATTATTTGTATCGCAAAAACCCAGTGTGTTACACTTTTTATTGGATGCACCTTATTCTTACTGCACCTCCCAAAACCTAACTTGTAATCCTCCCTTTTTACTGCTTCTCTGTTACTTGTAAATTGTTAAGAGAATTTTAATACCAAAATAATACCCTTTAGCTTATATGTTGTGTTTTCTTGTAATCCTTTTTCTGGATAATCTATGGAAACTGTGAAGGGAAGAGACCTGATAATGACTTTTGGAGGGGTAAGTTACAAATTGATTTAAAAGAATTGAAATTCCCAGAAGTGATTAACTTATATTAACTTTACCTAATAATATCCACACATTATCCAGCAAACAGGTAATAAGAATACTCAAACGTATCAGGAAGAAGTTGTTATCTTGATCTAACATAAAAAAAACGGACAAAAAGTTACAAGAAAATGTGTAGCAGATAGAGGGAAGAATTAAGAATGAGATCTTGGGAGTTAAATGGTTAAACCACCACCAGTATTATCAGTGTGTCATCATTGTTGGTCATCATAAGTGCTTTGTGATCTTATTTGCTCTGTCTATTCTGTTTGGTACTTTTTTTTGTATTAATGTGGAAGAGTTTTAAATCATTGTGGAATGCAATCATTTGAGTTTTTATATGAATAAGGACTCCCATATAACACTTAAGCATGGAAATGCAAAATTTCTTCTATACTTAGCACAGAACTCTGAATAGTTCTTAAGTGTTTTGTAACACTGTTTATTCTCAGGAAATTTACTAAATCAGGGAAGGCTTTATGTATTTGTTTACTATGGCTAGTATGACTGATTTTGCAAATTTAATGTTATTTGGTTCATTTACTTCCATCACTGAGGTGATATATTAACTACAGCCTTTTGAATCAAAGTGGTTTATACATGGACTGTGGAAGTATTTGTGTGATAAAAATTGATTGAAACGGGTTGGGAACTGAGGTTGTGTCTATTCTGTTTAGCTGTATTTTTCATTATTTTGACTATAATTTTGCATTTC